TTTAGTTGTTCAACACCTAACTTTATAGACCATTTCTTTATGTTGATCACCAAAAATTAAGCAATTTCTTTACTATTTTGCTTGATTCACATATGATTAGATTTTACTTTTAAGAAGTTTATGTCATTAGACTTGATTATCTGAGTACATATAGAATACAATTGTGGGTAAAAATGAAGGGAGCTTATTCTTAAATATGGGCATATCATATTGTTGACGGATATGGGGGATAGTAGTTGTTCTACTCAACTAATTGATGGAGATGGTGTATATAACGTCTCTAGATTGGAGAATTTCATGAAGACCATGAAACTTGGTGAATGTGGTCTTTCATTGATTGCTAAAGTATATTTTAGCATCCTTTTTCTTTTAGTGTCTAATTTTTAGACGCTAATAATCTACTTTTTTGTAGTACAAATTCTATATTGATGTTATGGATCCTAAAAAAATACAAAGATTTTACCTACTTTTATATTATGTTTTTTTGCACCACTTTATTTTATATATATTTTCTAATATATATATATGTTTATGACATTGCTGATGAGCTAGTATCAAGTAGCCTTCATGTCAGTATATATATATATATGATTTGGCATTTTTCAAGTGAAGTAATTATAACATCTTTGAATATAGGATTAATTTGATGGGATTTTAATGCATTAATGTTTAATGTTCTAACTTGAGTTCAATATTTTTACTCAATTGCCAATCATGATTTATGGAAAATTATACACTCCCTTGCAAAGAAAAATTGCCAAATCCATGATGGTTGGGTTGATACAGGCTGAGTGAATAAAAAATGCCTTTAAATTTTAAATTTTGAAATGGTTGTCATAATAAAAAATTATAAGAACACACATCAAAGCTAGCTAGTGGATAGTTGGATCTAAGTTTTGACAATATTTTTTGTCTCTTTGTGTTTTGTGATACAAATGTATTATTTATCGTTGTTGTGAGTTTTGGGTTTTAGATTTTTTAATATAAGCTCCAAAATTGATTAGTAATTTTGGTGTGTATTTATTATAAATTTTGGAGTTTTGAGAGCTCAATGGTATTTATTGCAACTGGTTTAAAGATAAAAAAAACTAACTTATGGAGCTTTGTAATCTGAATCTTCTTTTATGAACATTATAGAAATATTCTACTATCTTCTTTAATTTTTTGTTTTATTTGGAGCATCTTTTGCTTGCGTGGTTAAAACTGTTTATTTTGATGTTTAGTTCGTGCTCTTTTGATTATTAATAACAGCCTAGCTTGCTCTGAGCTGGACTTCAAAGGCCCGGGGAGGTTAAAACATTACTATTTTACACTCTTTTAATTAAAGGCTCAGCAATTATAAATTGGTGACTTATATAATAGTTTAAAATCCCCTTATCACAAAATAATATCTTTATAATGGTTACTATTTTTTTATCCCAATTTCCTAATAAAAGTTTGTTTTATTTGAAGATACATAATAATATCTTAATAGATGGTTCAAGAAAATTTATTTTTTTAAATGAACTGAAGTTTTAATTGATGGTGATATTGCAGTCATTATTTTTATTGTAGCCTATATCATTATAATTTTTTTAATGATTTATTTTTATTTGGCAAGTATTAATTTTGTATAAGTCGTTAAACATTCGATATATCTGTCAAATTAGTAAATAAATCGAATTGCTATATTTTCATGTAATTATTGTTATGTTTTCTAATTACATGCACTTGTGTTTTAACTTGTTAGGTTTTTTAGGAAATCATATGCTTAAAAATTGTTTGCAGGAGTATGCACAAAGATCGGGATTACACTTCCATGTTATACAAATATTAACGAAGGAAAATCACATGCACCAAGATTCCGGGCTACAATATTGATAGATGAGGTGAACTTTACTTCTCATAATACATTTTTTCACCGAAAAGAAGCAGAACAAGATATTGCTAAAATCACTCTCGGGATTATATCAGCAAAATTTCACAATATATGTCTTTTCATCATTTATAAAAGTAGATATACGTTTACACCTTTTTATTTTTTGAAATTAGTTTTACATTAAACTATAAAATTGTCTTCTACTTAATAGGATCCGTCATGTTGTAAATTGATTCTCAATAAAAGAGCTGGTCTTGGTTATATTGCTGCTCCCAAAATTGTTGAAAACTTTTCTTGTGAAGTTTTGTAATATTGAATGTAAGAGCCAAGTGACCTTCAATACTCACAAAATGGGAAAAAAGCATGGCAAATCTACAAAAATTTAAGGGAAAAATTATTCCAAAACCATATGCTACTTTTAAGAAAATTATTTCAGTTGGCCAAGATCAAACTACAAATGTGAAAGCGGTGAAGAAATCATCTTCAACTAAAGAGGATTTATAGACCAAGAAGGAAAAGGTTATTCAAGAAGGTATTATTGAAGAGGCCATAATGTTATGTGCTCTTTTTGATGTTGTTTACAACAGTAAAGTCGTTTATGACTTGCATATTAGTGAAGAATCATCTTGCTATGATTAAGAAGTAGGAGACTCAAGTTAAAACCAGTTTGCTCATGGACGAAAGCTTGCTCATGGAATGATCATTCTGATTTTAACTCATTTTAGTGGTCTTTGATATAAATTTAGTACTTTAGTTAGTTGTTTATCCTTTCAAATTTATGATGAAAATTTTATTTAGTAAACTTGTTTGGGCTTTCAACTTGTCCACGCATGAGTTGAAGTGATTTATTGTTGAGCAAGAATTGAGTTTTTTTTCCTTTATTTTCAATACATCACACTATGTTCATATTTTGCTTTTCATTGTTCTCTCTGTTTTTTAAATGCTCAACACCAAACTTTGTAGACCATTTCTTTATGTTGATCACCAAAAATTAAGCAATTTATTTACTAGTTTGCTTGCTTCACATATGGTTAGATTTTGCTTTTAAAAAGTTTATGTCATTAGACTTGGTTATCTGAGTACATAAAGAGTACAATTATGGGTAAAAATGAAGGGAGCTTATTCTTAAATACGGACATATAATGTTGTTGACGGATATGGGGGATAGTAGTTGTTTTACTCAACTAATTAATGGACATGGTGTATATAACATCTCTAGAATGGATAATTTAATGAAGACCATGAAACTTGTTGAATGTGGTCTTTCATTGGTCGCTAAATTGTATTTTAACATATTTTTTCTTTTAGTATCTAATTTTTTGGGTGCTAATAATCTACTTTTTTGTAGTGCAACTTCTGTATTGATGCTATGGATCCTTAAAAAAATAAAGATTTGATCTATTTTTATATTATATTTTTTTTGCACGAATTTATTTTGTGTATGTTTTACTAATATATAGATGTTTGTGGCATTGCTGATGAGCTAGTATCTTGTAGCCTTGATGTTAGTATATATGTATTATTTGACATTTTTCAAATAAAGCAATTATACCACCTTTGAATATAGGATTAATTTTATGGGATTTTAATGCATTAGTGATCATGTTCTAACTTGGTTCAATGTTTTTACTCAATTATCAATCATGATTTATGGAAAATTCTACACTCCCGTGCAAAGAAAAACTATCAAATTCATGTCGACTGGGTTGATACGGGATGAGTGATAAAAAATGTCTTTAAATTTTACATTTTGAAATGGCTGTCATAGTAAGAAATTATAAAAACACACATCAAAGCTAGCGGACTATAGCTGGATATATGTTTTGACAATATTTTTTGTCTCTTTGTGTTTTGTGATACGAATGTACTATTTATTGCTGTTGTGAGTTTTGGGTTTTGGATTTTTTTGACATAAGCTCCAAAATTGATTAGTAATTTTGGTGTGCATTTATTATGAATTTTAGAATTTTGAGAGCTCATGGCACTTATTGCAACTAGTTTAAAGATAAGAAAACTAACTTTTAGAGCTTTGTAACCTTAATCTTCGTTTATGAACATTGCAAAAAGATTCTGCAATCTTCTTTAATTTTTTTATTATATTTGGAGCATCTTTTTCTTGTGTGAATAAGACTTGCTTGTTTTGATGTTCAGTTGATACTTTTTTGATTATTAATAACAATAAATCTTGCTCTGAGCTGGACTTCAAAGGTCCGGGGAGGTTAAAACATTTCTATTTTACACTCTTTGAATTGAAGGCTCAACAATTATAAATTGGTGACTTAGATAATGATTTAAAATCCCCTTATCACATAACAATATCTTTATAATAGTTACTACTTTTTTAATACCAATTTCCTAATAAAAGTTTGTTTTATTTGAAAATACATAATAATATCTTTATAGATAGTTCAAGAAAATTTTATTTTTTTAAATGAAGTGAAGTTTTGATGGTGATATTGAAGTCTTTATTTTTATTGTAGCCTGAATCATTGTAATTTTTTAATGATTTATTTTTATTTGGGCAAGTAATAATTTTGTATAACTCGTTAAACATTCAATATATTTGTCAAATTAGTAAATAAATCGAATTGTTATATTTTCATGTAATTATTATTATGTTTTCTAATTACATGCACTTGTGTTTTAACTTGTTATGTTTTTTAGGAAGCCATATGCATAAAAATCGTTTTGTAGAAGTATGCACAAAGATGAGGATTATCACTTCCATGTTATTAAAATGTTAACAAAGGAAAACCACATGAACCAAGGTTCCGGGCTACAATATTGGTAGATGGGGTGAACTTTACTTCTCATAATATATTTTTTCACTGAAAAAAAGCAGAACAAGACCTTGCTAAAATTGCTCTCAGGATTATATCAGCAAAATTTCAGAAGGTATCTTTTTTCATCATTTATAAAAGTAGATATACTATTACACTTTTTTTTTTTGGAATTAGTTTTACACTAAACTATAAAATTGTCTTCTATTTAATAGGACCCGACATGTTGCAAAGTGATCCTCAATGAATGAGTTGGTCTTGGTTACATTGATGTTCCCAAAATTGTTGAAAACTTTTCTTGTGAAGTTTGTAAGAATGTAACAGCCATGTGACCTTCAATACTCCTAAAATGGGAAAAGCACATGGCAAATCTGCAAAAATTGAAGGGAAAAATTATTCCAAAGCCATTTGCTACTTCTAAGAAAAATATTTCAATTGGTCAAGATCAAACTACAAATGCAAAAGCGATGAAGAAACCATCTTCAACTAAAGAGGATTTGCAGGCCAAGAAGGATAAGGTTGTTCAAGGAGGTGCTGCTGAAGAGGCCATAATAGTTTGTGCTCTTTGTAATTTTGTTTGCAACTGTAAAGTCATTTATGACTCGCATATTAGTTGGAAGAAACATCTTGCTATGATTAAGGAGGAGACTGAAGTTAAAACCAGTTTGCTCATGGTCGAAAGCTTACCGATGGAATGATCATTCTTCTTTAAACTCCATTCAGTGGTATTTGATATAAATTTAATACTTTAATTAGTTGTCTATCCTTTCAAAGTTATTCTAAAATTTTTATTTAGTGAATTTGTTTGGGCTTTCAACATATCCACGCATGAGTTAAAGTGATTTATTGTTGAGCAAGAATTGAATTTTTTCCTTTATTTTCTATACATCACATTATTATCATATTTTTGCTTTTCATTGTTCTCTTTATTTTTTAGTTGTTCAAAACTTAATTTTATAGACCATTTCGTTATGTTGATCATCAAAAATTAAGTAGTTTCTTAACTAGTTTGCTTGCTTCACATATGATTAGATTTTGCTTTTAAGAAGTTTATGCCATTAGACTTGGTTATCTGAGTACATATAGAGTACAATTGTGGGTAAAAATGAAGGGAGCTTATTCTTAAATACGGACATATCATGTTGTTGACGGATATGGGGGATAGTAATTGTTCTACTCAACTAATTGATGGAGATTATGTATATAACGTCTCTAGAATGGAGAATTGCATGAAGAATGTGAAACTTGGTGAATGTGGTTTTTCGTTGGTCACTAAAGTGGATTTTAGCGTCCTTTTTTTATTCTCTAATTTTTTAGACGATAATAATCTACTTTTTTTATAATGCAACTTCTGTATTGATTCTAAAAAAATATAAAGATTTGACTTATTTTTATATTATGTTTTTTTGGACGACTTTAATTTGTGTATATTTTAAAAATATATAGATGCTAATATATAGATGTTTGTGGCATTGTTGATGGGCTAGTATCATGTAGCCTTCATGTCAGTATATATGTATGATTTAACATTTTTCAAGTAAAGCAATTATAGCATATTTGAATATAGGATTAATTTCATGGGATTTTAATACATTAGTGATCATGTTCTAACTTGAGTTCAATGTTTTTACTCAATTATCAATTATGATTTATGGAAAATTCTACAATCCCTTGCAAAGAAAAACTATCAAATCCATGTCGATTGGGTTGATACAGGCTGAGTGAAAAAAAAAAATGTCTTTAAATTTTACATTTTGAAATGGCTGTCATAATAAAAAAATTAAAAGAACACACATCAAAGCTAGCGGACTATAGCTGAATCAAAGTTTTGACAATATTTTTTGTCTCTTTGTGTTTTGTGATATGAATGTACTATTTATTGTTGTTGTGGGTTTTGGGTTTTGAATTTTTTTGACATAAGCTCCAAAATTTATTAGTATTTTTGGTGTGCATTTATTATGAATTTCAGAGTTTTGAGAGCTCATTGTACTTATTGAAACTGGTTTAAAGAAAAGGAAAAGTAACTTATAGAGCTTTGTAACATGAATATTCTTTTATGAACTTTACATAAAGATTATGATATATTCTTTAATTTTTTATTATGTTTGGAGCTTCTTTTGCTTTTGCGGACAAGACTTGCTTGTTTTGATGTTCAGTTGGTGATATTTTGATTATTAATAACAGCATAACTTGCTATGAGTTGGACTTCAAAGGTCAGGGGAAATTAAAATATTAATATTTTACACTCTTTGAATTGAAGGTCAGCAATTATAAATTGATGATTTAGATAATGGTTTAAAATCGCCTTATCACATAACAATATCTTTATAATGATTACTATTTTTTTAATCCCAATTTTTAAATAAAAGTTTATTTTATTTGAAGATATATAATAATATCTTTATAGATGGTTTAAGAAAATTTTATTTTTTTAAATGAAGTGAAGTTTTGATGGTGATATTGAAGTCATTATTTTTATTTTAGTCTGTATCATTATAATTTTTTTAATTATTTATTTTTATTTGACAAGTAATAATTTTGTATAACTCGTTAAACATTCATTATATCTATCAAAATTAGTAAATAAATCGAATTGTTATATTTTCATGTAATTATTACTATGTTTTCTAATTACATGCACCTGCACACTACAGGAAAACATCTCATTTCCGACAAAATTTCTGAAGAAAATAAATTCATCATAAATTCCGATGGATTACCGATGGAAATATTTCGGAGACAACATCACACAGATGTTACATAGTGGTATGGTGGATAGGGGCTTATATTCTGGATAGTGCTGGTTCGAATCCCGCTGAATGTGGTTCGTTGCGCGGGTTGGGAAGGCTCATTCGGCAGGCTCGCGAGTTAGCTGGGGTTGAGCCAGGGCGGGGGGTAGCGTTCTGAGGGATTCAGGTCGTGGGCTCCACTCGGGCGGGTGAGCCTGGGTTGCTAAATGTGTGGAGGGGGCTTCAGTTGGTCACGATTGGGCTTAGGCTTCAGCGGGTTTAATTTTTTTTTTTTTCATTTTATATTCGCCCGAAATATTTTCGACAGATATTTTGTCGGAAGTTTGCTAGAAATTTTTCGGCAGAAAGTTTTAAGTCGATAGCACTTTTTTGACGCACGTATTGTTGGAAATCTGTCAAAAATACTAATTTTCGGCAAAATTTGGCCATTTTTCGATGAAAAATTGGCGCCGAAAATTGACGTTTTTCCTATAGAGGTATTTTAACTTGTTAGGTTTTTTAGGAAATCATATACATAAAAATTATTTGCAGGAGTATGCACAAAGATCAGGATTATCACTTCCATGTTATACAAATGTTAAAGAAGGAAAATCACATGCACCAAGGTTTCAGGTTACAATATTGGTAGATGGGGTGAACTTTACTTCATATTTTTTCACTGAAAAGAAGTAGAACAAGATGTTGTTAAAATCGCTCTCGGGATTATATCAGCAAAATTTCAAAATGCATCACTTTTCATCATTTATAAAAGTAGATATACTATTACACCTTTTTTTATTTTTTGGAATTAGTTTTATATATAAAATTGTCTTCTACTTAATATGATCCGGCATGTTGCAAAGTGTTCCTCAATGAAAAAGCTGGTCTTGGTTACATTGCTGCTCCAAAAATTGTTGAAAACTTTTCTTGTGAAGTTTATAAGATTGAATGTAACAGCCAAATGACCTTCAATACTCACAAAATGGGAAAAATCACAGTGCAAATATGCAAAAATTGAAGGGAAAAATTATTCCAAAGCTATATGCTAATTCTAAGAAAAATATTTCAGTTGGCCAAGATCAAACTACAAATGCAGAAGCGATGAAGAAACCATCTTCAACTAAAGAGAATTTGCAGACCAAGAAGGATAAGGTTGTTCAAGGAGGTGCTGCTGAAGAGGCCATAATGGTATGTGCTCTATGTGATGTTGTTTACAACAGTAAAGTAGTTTATGACTCGCATATTAGTGGGAAGAAACATCTTGTTATGATTAAGAAGCAGGAGACTCAAGTTAAAACCAGTTTGTTCGTGCCCGAAAGCTTGCCCATGGAATGATCATTCTGCTTTCAACTCCTTTCAGTGGTCTTTGATATAAATTTAGTACTTTAGTTAGTTGTCTATCCTTTCAAAGTTATTATGAAAATTTTATTTAGTGAACTTGTTTGGGTTTTCAATATGTCCTTGCATGAGTTGAAGTGATTTATTGTTGAGCAAGAATTAAGTTTTTTCCTTTATTTTTATACATCACACTATGCTCATATTTTGCTTTCCATTGCTCTCTCTATTTTTTAGTTGCTCAACACCAAACTTTACAGAACATTTATTTATGTTGATCACCAAAAATTAAGCAATTTCTTTACTAATTTGCTTGCTTCACATATGATTAGATTTTGCTTTTAAGAAATTTATGATATTAGACTTGGTTATCTGAGTATATATAGAGTATAATTGTGGGTAAAAATGAAGGGAGCTTATTCTTAAATACGGGCATATCATGTTGTTGACGGATATGGGGGATAGTAGTTGTTCTACTCAATTAATTGATAGAGGTGGTGTATATAACATCTATAGAATGGAGAATTTCATAAAGATCATGAAACTTGGTTTCTTTCATTGGTCGCTAAATTGATTTTAGCATCATTTTTCTTTTAGTCTCTAATTTTTTGGACATTAATAATCTACTTTTTTGTAGTGCAACTTTTGTATAAATGTTAGGACATTCATTTCCAGATTTAGTATTATTATTACTGCTACACTTATCAGCTGAGTTATTGGAACAATCATTAGCATCATTGTCATTGGGGGTAACCTTCATAGGAGCTGGTCCAGTGTCGGGTATATTAGGCACAGTATGGGTGAGATGTGGAGCAACCCTTTCATTCAACAAGTGACTTTCATCAGCAGCAAAATTTCCAACCCTCTCAGGTGGGGAAATAGGTTCCTCCTGAACCATTTGGGTCTGAATTTCCATGGCAACATCACATTCATCTGTATTTTTATCCATTTTTTGCCCCGCCGAGTTGCTGGAAATTTTTTTAAGATTGGGGTGGAGTTTAAAGCATTCAGCCGCCGCATGACCGTGAGTTTTACAGTGATTACAAAAATATGGAACTTTTTCAAATTCGACTTTCTGGAGGTATCCGAATGCTTTAGAGCCCACCCAAATCTCCTTAGCATGCTTCTTTGTAATATCAACTTCAACTAATATTCTCGCCACAGAAGGTCTAGTCCTTGAAGTCGTGGCCTGATCGGTTTGCAAGAGCTGACCAAAGACCAATCCAAGCGCAAAAAGAACTTTCGCATTAAAAAAATGAAGTCTAAGGTTTGGGAAGGAAATCCAAATAGGAACTATAGGAGATTCTTCCCTAACATAAAAAAAAGGCGTCCACTTCAAAACTCGCATTTGACAGTTCAAGATAAAATACGATCTATGCGCAAACACCCGGCTGTAATCCAATCGTTAGATAGTTGTATGGCTACATGTTTAGAATCCAAAAGACCCACCGAATAAAATCCAGAAAGTTTTAAGCTACCGAAAAAAGCACAAATAGAATCCAAATTAGGTCTACGAAGACCAAAATTACCCACAAGAGTGAATTGAAATGGAGATGCAAGCTTAAGAACTTCTTCATCTGAAACCAAAATAGCCGGCACACCATTAAATGTAGACTGAGTTAACGAAGGTAGGGTATCACCTGCAGACGAACCAGCAAGAATATCTTTGAAAGAACGAGACTTTGGCGGAGAAGAAGCGCCCGCTTCCAAGCTAAAGAATCCTTTGATCGGATTATTACCATTAGAGGCGACATTACCCCAAGCAGTTGCTGATGGTTCCCCCATCGGGATCGTCAAGCCCGAGCAGGGCAAGACTGTTGGGCTTCCCCTAGCTTCCTCCTCTAAGTCATCTTCTTCTCTGATAGGTTTCTTCTTTTGGTCTTTTGAACTTCTAAAAAGTTTCTTCTTATGGGCGTCTCGCAATTTTATTTTTGGAAGATGAAGGAAACCATTAAACCCTTCGGAATATCCACCAGATTTCAACAAACGGTTCGATTCTTCATAAATAACCGTTGAACTATTCTCACTTGTTCTTCCCTTAGATCTTTCATGGTTTGCAATTCATTTATGAGTCTCTACTCTTTCAGATTCAAAGCTTAGGTAATGGATTTTTATTTGATTGTAAAATTTGTTAGTTGTTTATAAAATAGAATTGCAAACTGGAACTTTCGGATAACTTAGTTTTGACAACTAAAATTTAATTGAATTTTGTTATCTGCATATATAATAAAAGATTAATACAACAAAATTATTAGATGATATAATTCAAGTGCTAAACTTTCACATGCATAAGCATTATAGAAACATTATGTTATTCTACAAATAATTTTAGTTTCATTTTGATATTAAATATCTCAAAATATTTTATCATAATTTTTTTCTACAGCACAAAAGTTAGGCTCTTAATAGCAAAATTTGGTAAAAATCGAAAACAGGTAAATTCAAGTTGTAAGTTTCAATCATACTAAACAAAATTTCATTTGTAGTAAATAAAATTTATTTAATAGTATTTCTGATATTAAGATTCATTGTTTCAAGTATTTTCTGTGATTATCCTCTATATTAGATGTGCTTCCATTGATCCTGCTTATTCTGGAATCATGTTTTTTGGTGATGCATGGAGTATCAACTTGTAAATCACAAAGTAAGCTGAGCTTATCTTATCTATCTAGCTCCTCCCAAGGAATTCCAAGAAGAACAAGAAATTGAATGTAAAATACCCCCCATAAAAAAAAAAAAAAAAATCTAGAAGGGAAAAAGATCGCTGATTCGGTTAGAAGCAAACAGAGAACAAGATTGTTTCTCATTTGCTCATCCCTTATCGAAATACAGTTTGGCTTATTTGAAGACTTAATCCAATTAACTTGATGAAATGATAACTTGAGACTAATCCAAACAAAAACTACCAAAACCAATTAACTTATTTCAAGCTACATTATAAAACAAGAATGGTTTGGGGAATAGCATCGAACACCAAGACGACCTCACGAAGAAGCAGATTGATAACAAACGACGTGTAGCAAAGATGTGCCAAAGCAACGCCAGAAAGTTAAAACTTTTGCCATGAACAAAACATAAATCGTTAGAAAAGGTATGAAAGATACCAACTTTGATCTTAAAGCCATAAGAAAAAAAAATAAATAAATACCCAAATAAGCGACGGTGCATGTAGAAGAGGCCGAGTTCGTAGGCCACGAGCAAGTGCTGGTTTCAGTCGTTAGAAAAGGTATCAAAGATACCAATTTTGATCTAGAAGCGAGAAGAAAAGAATAAATATAAATACCCAAATAAGCAACGAAAGATGAGAAGAAACTGTTCGAGTGTGAAGAGAAATAAATAAATGCTCGGATGTGAAGAAGAAGAAAGATGAGAAGCTGCTTCGGCAGATCCACAACCGCCTGGCAGTGAAAATAAATATCAGTTTTTTTTTTTTTTTTCAATTGAATGAACGGCATTGGAGTATAATACAATCGCCTGATCTACATGTCATTTAATGTTTTATAACATTAATTGCAAGTCATTTAATGTAAGGAGCTTTGATACGTTTTTGATTCCAGGAAGTTAAAAATATATTTATTTGAGGAAGAAAATTTAAGCAACATAAATTTATAGTAACAGACAATAATAATATGTATAATTTTTATATATTTTTATATTTATTAATTATTTTAAAAGAAGTAAAACGGATGGTCAAGATTTAATGTGGAAGGAAATTCAAACAGCTTTTATAATAGTAGTATAGTATAGATATGGATAAATTTCAGCCCTTTTTAATAGCTAATATGATAATTTAATCTCATTCAAATTTAATTAATTTAATATATCTAAAGTAAATAATTTGTCTTATAAGTAAGACTTAAGGATAAGTTGCTTTTAAAATCTATATCTATACTACTATTATAAAAGGGGCTTGAGTTTCCACCCCTAGACAATCTTGCAAGCGGGCGCTTCTTCTCCGCCAAAGTCTCGTTCTTTCAAAGATGTTCTTGCTGGTTCGTCTGCAGGTGATACCCTACCTTCGTTAACTCAGTCTACATTTTCTCTCTATCTATGTTGTATATTTCACATTTTTATTTCATTTTCTCAATGTTTCAACTATAATAAATTCTTATTTTATTATTATTTTTTTGTATGCAAGATATTTTTGTATTCATCCCCACTTACCATTCAGCCTTCATGGGTGTTCTTAAATTACAAAACATACTCATGCTCTTTTGCATATTTTCTTGATTTTGATTTTTATTTCTGATTTTGGTTGGGGTGTCAATATTTAACACGACTCGAAATCCGACCCGGACCCGACATGGAAAATTTTGATTTTGGATCAACCTGTTTACCAAAATGGTCAAGTTCGAGTTTTAGATATCGACTCATTTTAAAAATTGGGTGGGGTTCAAGCTGACCTGAAAACCCGAAATTAACTCTGAATTGACCCAGGTCGCATCTGCATCGCGTGCGCTCAGGCGCTCAGGCTCGCATGGTCACACATGCCTCCCGTTTCTACTTGAGCTAGTGAGAATGAAATAATTTGCTTGATTTTAAAGATAGAGGTCCCTTTTTGTGACTTTGACTGAATTTAAAGCATTCAAGTTAAATTTCAAGATCCCGTTCAAATCTTCACTTCCCAAAGTAACATCATTAAATTGTGTTTCCTGAGCTGCTGCTTTTGGTTTGATTAAAGAAGCGTTCTGCTCCATCCACTCTTTAAATTTGCATTTGGTAGGGAGATAATTTATGACCAGCTTTCTATAGATTCTATCCTTGGCCTCCTCTTCTTTTAATTATATTTCTGTCTTGCAAGGGCTTGTTATGCTGTTGGTTGTTCATGGGTACACCGCTACTTTTTAAAACATTCTATTATTCAAGTTCTATAAAGTTAAAGCTACCAACGGGCTAGCATGTTTTTACCCCTAATTGTGCTTCAAGTCGTGCAAATGATCTTTGTATGATATGATGCTTACCTTAAGGAGCTGGATAATGAACTAGAACAACTACGCAACCAACATTATTTTACTTTAGTTTCCTTTTAATTTGTTCACCTATTTTGAATCGCATTCCTGACCCTTTATTCTCTTCTCAGAGACTAGCTAGAGAAAATGGTTTCGAATGGAGAAGGTCCACCAAGGGGCAGCGCAGCAGCAGCTGCTAACTTGCGTAGGCGGAGAACAGGCGGCGGCGGCAGCGGTGCTCCTGCTGGAGGAGCTGCATCCACAATGCTACAGTTCTACACTGATGACACTACAGGTCATAAGCTATCTCCCAACACTGTCCTTATTATGAGCGTGGGATTCATTGCTTTTGTTGCTTTGATGCATGTGTTTGGTAAGCTCTATCTTGTTCGCAGCTGATCACAACTGAGATTTTAGCTCGTTTAATAATCTGATTTGATGAGAAAACACAAACTGTATACTTTTATTTCTCCATGGAAATCTTAATAAATTGCTTTTGAACTGCAATGTTTAGGAAATCTCAGGTTTTATGTTGTTGAAACTATCAAGTATTGTGCTTTCTTCTTCAAATTCCTTAACTTTTTTTACTGAACATATTAGCAATTATTTTTGCGGGCCATACAAATTGAGATAGCATTCATTGTTTCAAAATCTTGAAGATTAAGATTTTGGACAATTAATGAAGGAGAAATGCAGTTCACTTTGTCAGACAGTTCGGACACTAAGTTCTGCTTTTCTTAGAGCTCATATTACATCTTTGGCAGAGAATGAGTGTGCTCATTCAATTTGGCTAAAAATGATTGCTATTGAGGAGGCATTCATTTTCATGATAAATGATTGATATTAAGGAGGCATTCATTTTAATAAAAAAAGGTTATATAACATTGCTATTTTCGAGCAATTTTATTATTTTAATAATCTAATTAATATATTTTTAATCTATAAGCTCCATTGAATTTATGATAACAATTTGTATAAATGTTTATTTTTTTGTTGATTGGAGGCATCACAGATGCTCTTAGATCATTGTTGCGAACTAACCACCCCAACTTCGTTCTAATTGTGTTGATTGGGCGCAATTCATGACAATATTGTTTTAGGGCTTTTTGGTTGGTTAAAAAAGGAATGCAATGTAAAATGAATGCAACATAAAAGAAATATTTGTTCGTGGAATGGATGATTCTGTTCTTGATTTTGAAACTTGCATTGAGATAAATGTGAGAAATGTATCTCAATGGAAATTTGCTTTTAGGTCTTGTTTTTGCATAAAATTAAAAAAAAAAACATAAAACAAATGAAAGAGATCAACATTTAGGTCAATTTAGGTAAGATCACAAACATCACGTACGGAAGACTCGAATTCAAGATCTCTTGATTGGTAGTCAAACATTCTAACCAACAAACTAAGATGAGTTGCGTAAAAGAAATTACTTTAGAATATTATCCTTATTTGTCACATTAATAATTACAACTATATTCCTCTCCCATGCTCTCGGATCTTGATGCAATGTATTTATTTTTGTGTGGTTCATCTAACATTTCTTGTATTCTATAGGCCTTGATTTCATGCATTATTTGTATAAAATGGTTGTTTTTTAGGACATGAATGTTTAAGTAAAAAAAAAAGTATCATTTTTATTTTTCAATAGTTTTAGATTTTATCAACAAACTTTTTTAGAATTATTTTTATTTATCTTTAATCAAATATTTGATTCATTAACTCTATTGGATTTGTATGATTGAGATATACAAAGTCTTAGGTTTCGTTTGGGATAAATTTTTTATTTCTTTATGAAGCAATTTTTTAGTATAAAAATTTTTAATTCAATATATATATACTAAAAAATTGCTTCATAAAGCAACAAACAAAAAAAAAACGGTACCAAATAAAGCCTTATTTTGTTCACTTGCTCAAAGTTATTTTTGTATTTAAATCTTCATAAAATTATTTCATTATTTTTTCCAGAAGAAACAAGAAGCAAGTTAATGAAAAAAATGGACATAAATTTTTTACATTATGAGTTGTATGAGAATGACATATATGCCAAAATCAATCATCAGATGAATTTTTATGCATGGGGCTTTATCTTATTAGCTCAACATTTGATTTTCTTGGTGCCATATGGTAAAGGAAATGGTGAAGAAAAATGGCATAAATTGATTTAGTTTTAGCGCATGACATTATGTTTTATGCTATAATGATCGTATAATATATTGTCATATATGAAAGTCTATCACATTATAAATAAAAAAATTGAGCGTAGTTCATAAGATATACATGATATTTTACTTTGCAAAAATAGGAACGGGGAAAATCATAGGGTTTGGCCTATTAAAATAATTGCAGTAGTAAAAATCATCTATTACAAAACATGCTCCTTCTCATAATTAGAAAAGATATACAATGTTTGGATATGAATTGTAAGAAGCCTCGAGATATTGTGGAGTATCATTAAGAGATTATTGATAGTATGCTTAGTTGTTCTCTTTATAATATTACCATCGACCAACAAGACATGTGGAAGTTTGTATTGACGACAAGCATTAGTCAAAGCGGTAATTGATGGGTGTCATGTTGATGAAGATGATCATTAGCACAAGCGGTGATGATAAATGACAATGTTGATGGCGATGCTGATCATCAACATTGAGCTATGATGCACCAATACTCAATTAATATGAATTATGTCATGTCGCATGTCGGATATGTTCAAGACACGCACGCACATTTGCCTTAACAACATGCTCAACATGCTATCCGTGCGTCCAATCAAAAGAAACAAAAAGTTTTCAACACGGCTCCTCAATAATAAATTTTAAATCTGAAGGCATATTACGTAAATAATATTTGAATAACTTAATAGCTATTTAAAACTAGTTTTATTCTTCTTATTTGCTTTATTTTCTTATGATTTTTTAATAATGTATATTATATATACACACACAAAGGAACCAATTTTTTTTTTTGAAGTTGATAATTTATTATGTCATGTAACTATTTCTTCCATTAGTTAAAAAAATTAATAGATTTAAATAAAATTATAGAATTTCATTTCATTTCATATTTACTAAATTTATGTAATTTCTATACTTCTTTATTTTTTAAAATTATAATATTATAATGGTATATCTAATACATGTCCATGTCTTAATAATAGGTATGTTGTGTGTCCATATCCTTTTATCGCATGTCCATATGAGGAGAGATTATTCGGTGCGGAGTGCGGACGGAGAGAACCGTCAGCACAGTCCTTATTCCGCACTATGTACTGGCACTCGGTACTGCTGGGTACCGCTAGGTACGCATGTTTGTGCGGACAGTGCACACTCCGCACCTAATAATTTTTCCCATATGAGGCATTAGGTGTTTGCTTTGGTAACAAAAATAGTTGAAGGTTGAAGCCTCCATGTTTGGTAGTTAGTTAATCTTCTAGAAAAAAAATGATTTTTATTATTTATTTATAAAATTCTAGATTAAAGAGGAATCTCTCATTTATTTACTTTTTTTTTTGCAAGAACATTAACATTTGGTATGTGACATAAATATATTATATTTAAAGGAACTTATTAATCAATGTATACCAACTTTAATTATATAAAGTTTTTTCCATCTAATAAGGTTTTGACTTGAAAAATAACATCATTGCACATGTCACGATTTATGAGGGTCGAATAGTCATTTTGATTATCATGCTGATTAATTTTAAAAAAAATGAAATATTTATTTACAAAATTAGATTTTGTTTTTTCAAACCCTCCATTACAACATAAATTATTAGGTCCAAACACCACAAAACTGCAATTGGATATATTAGAGTACATAAATTGTGTACTCTCATAACCTCAAATTTGCTACTTTCATAATTATTTATATATCTCTAGAAAATTCACTTGAGCAATATGAATTTCAAAATAATCTGTGAATTAAAAATTTTAGCATTAAATTTAGGACTATCTAAAATCCAATTTTAATGAACTTATAGTCGAGCTATGCATCTCGACAAAATAAGCCCAACAACAGTAAAAGTGATATGATTCAAGTCCAAATGAACCTAAATCAAGCACTTAAAGCATATTTAGAAGCTTGAGGACATTAACTGAAGAATCAAATAGTCTCTGAATCTTGTATGTTTATTATCAAATCAAGTGCCTTGACGAGACGAATCCAACATGCACAAGATCATTGAATTCTATGATCAATAAAGCATTCAAATACTAAATAAATAATCTATGATCAAGAAAACCAATATAGGTTGTCAATGGATTATTTTTATTTTAGTCAAATTTATCAAAATGCCTATCTTAAAATGCTATAAATATAATCACGAGAAAAATGTGTTCGCGCAAGGTGATGGTTGGATTTGAAAGAACTGAAACTCTATTGCCTTGCATGACATTCATTGATGATTACCACCATTATTGAACTTACATTGCTCGACTCTCGTTGCCTAGCTATTATCATTTGACCCAATCACCTGATTACCATTTTCTGACCAAAGACAATCGACCACTGTTTGACATTATCTACATTTTCCATCACTTCTTCTGCAATCTTTCTAATGACCATCAAATAATTTTTTTCATTTGTATAATCTCATCTTCTTCAATTATAGAGAAGATCAGACTCTTATATCAATAAATTAATTATATACTAAACTATTTCAACTGGGTCTGATCCAACAATTTTTCCCCATTTTAGATTTTACACATAAAAATTTTTAGTATCTCCTACAACTTCTATCTTTGTACATGTTAGATCTTTATAAAATGTTAGAATAATAAGCACTCTATCTATTATCATAAATTTTGCTAGCACATAATAGTACGATACTATCTATGAGAATCATATCCCTACATCTTAGTAATACCATTTTAATGATTAATAGATGTAACATTACATGCAGTACATTTCCTCATTCCAAGATTCATCAAACTTGGAATGTGTCTAGCAACATTGGACATCATAATTAGCCAAGAGTAGGCCTTTGAGACCCATCACTAAAAGACCAGACGCATAGGATGGAGTAGGGCCAAGCTGAAATCCTTCAACTATTGGTGGAGGTTAATCAATAGAGACTACCATCATAGTATAATGGAGGAGCTCACCGGTGAAAAATTCAATACCAAAATGAGGATGAACAATTAGTAGATACTCACAAAGGCTACTCTCATCATCATGTTGAAGTTTCTCCTCTACCACAGTCTAACCTAAAACTTATTAATATCATTAGTTCAACGCATCATTCTCATAGAAGCTCGACAAATTCTTAAAGTGATTCTTGAGTTATTATGGGCATCTTTCTTGAAGATTTTCGCCCTGCATCTTTTTACTCTTTTTACTCTTTATTGATATGGGAGGCTACTCAATCTTATACTAGTCTAACTCATAAAATCATCTAGATCATATGACTTCCAAAGCACATGCATCGCTCATTAATGATTCCCATTTGTGTCCCAGACCACCATAGCCACCTTTCACCGCAGTCGCTTACTTTTCAATCATTGTGTTATCCAGATACATCTTCACCGACATTTCAATGAATTTAAAACATATTACAACTTTAAAAAGTATTTCAATACAATTTATTTGCAACCAATCAAGCAACTCCTACATTTTTAAAATACATGCAATTTATAAAACATCCATTGAGAATTACATTTACCTAAAAACATATTATTAATAAAAAATATATAAGATATCATTATAACTTATGGCTCATCTTCATGAGAAACAAAACTCAACATCTCATCCATAAGCAATAAACTAAAAAAAATGTATATTAAAAGCTGCTTTTAAAATAGCACTTTAGTACATTCTCTTATGTGTTGTTTTTAAAAATAACTTTTAAATAATAAAAAAAATTAACTAGAAATGTTTGTATTAAAATACTAGCAATTTTCCAATTTTCAGTTCTATTCATTCACCATTCTCATTTCATTTCTTCTCTTTCAATTCTTTCTAACCAAAGCCTTAAAGTGCTGAGCCGTTTGACTAATTTTTTAAAGTCATCAATAGCCAGGTAAAAGCAAACACGAGGTAGTATGTTATGCCTCTTTACAATAAAAATAATGGTAGAATCTGGCTTTTGTGATGTGACGCCCAATTCCCATGCCAATGTAACAAGTTCCTAAAATCTTCCCTATGTTAGACATGAATGTCCATACAAGGGATAAATTCAATCTTTTTATGATGAATTGAGCATGAATTGGCATGAAAAGGTTGGAGCAACTCCAATGATAGATAAGATTAAAGAGAAAAGTCTTAGATAGTTTGATCAAATAAAACATCAGAACATTAGTCTTTCGATAACCTAATTAGGAGAGAAGATGTAAGAGATCCAACTTATGTTACAAAAGATAAATATAGATTAAAAAAATTTTGATTAGAAAATATTATAAATACTATAAATACTTTATTTATTAAATCTAAAGGAGATTTAACTTTTTAATAAGACACAATAAAAAAAAAAAAAAGAGTTATAGCCCAGCCCACGTAATAGCATAAAAGATTGTCGTTAATTGGCATAAATGGGCTCTTCTTTCAAGCGAACGAAAACTTGGGCCAATCCAAAATACCAGTTTTAAATGATAATGCTCAACAGCTTGAGAAGCACCATATGGCGTGGGGCAATAGGATGACAACAACAACAGGAAACAACTTCGTTCCCTTTTTAGCAGCGCAACGACAAACAAGGTAAACTAGTTTATTACATTGATGTTTCTGAACTGATTGTTCATTTGCTATCAAGGCAAAGTCAGACCTAATCAACTATCGGGGAAGGAGATGCTTAAGCTGGAATAATGCAATTTATCATTTTCTGAATGGATTTCCTACTCTCAGGGGCTGTTTGGTACAAGGATTTAGGCTGGATTTGAGGCGGATTTGGGCAAAATCCAGCCCAACAGCCTAAAATGCAAAACCAAATCTCACGGCAAATGAAAGCCGCTGTAGACGGAAAATTCCGCCTTTTCGTGCTAAATCTCAGATTTCCGAAATCCTGTTTTTTGCTGGATTTACGAAATTTGTTGGCAGTAGAGAAAGAGTCCGATTGTTAAATCCGTTCTATAGTCAAATAGTCACATGAGATTTAATAGGATTTATCATGAATGCTACCAAACAGTTTTCAGGATTTAGGCCCCTCAAAATTTCAGAAATCCGGATTTATCCTGAGTGCTACCAAACAGCCCCTTATTGTCTTTGTACGTTTCCATATTCATGGATGCAAAGAAGCAAAAATAAATATCCCAAACGGGAAAAAAAAAAATCAGCGTAAGTGATCATTGGAGTTTGAATGCAGATCTCATCGCACACAAAATAAAATATTAAACCGACAAATAGACCAACAAATATGGACAAGGCATTAATCTATCATTGAATTACAGAACTGTCTTCCTTAATTAAAGAGATTTAAGCTTTTTTACCATTTCTTAAAGTAGCATTTTAATTTAAATTTTTGTACTTAAAAACTGTTTTAAAAAACACTAAAAAAATCGTCCTAAACAAAACCTTAGTTAGTTTAGAGTTGGAGAAGAAGTTCTAGCTTATACTGAAATAAACAACATAGAACAGACGAGACTTGGATGTTTTCAACGGGAAACCTTGTAGAAGAAGAAATGCACATTTAAACATACAAATGCAGCTGGTCCGAATAGCTTACGGAGCACACATGTATAATTTGGGTCCACGTGAACGCAAGAAAAAGAGTACACTTACAATAGAAGTGGAGCAGAGTTGAACAGGATCTGTTAATGGGCGAGCTTGAAATATAGTATGAGGAGAATAGCCAGGACAAGGGCCAAAATTATTCCCCCTATGATCCACTTGTTCTTGTCCATCCTTCTAGACATGGCCGTGAGGACCTTCTTGCTCTTTCCTATGTTATCATCCACGCCATGCAACTGCATCACAAAAAAAAAATCCAATATTTGTAAATATGTGAAGGTTCATGGGAGGGAGAAGTAGGCATGATCTAATATAGTTTTCAGAAAAATTATTAAGAAAATATCCAGAACTTTCTTGGCAGTTCATAAGAAAAATATTATACAGATGTCGAAGAAGGTGGAAGAGGGTCAAAACTGTGCAGGCGGCGTTCCATTGCCTTATCCCAGCAATTTTACAATCAGCTAACAGGTTGAGAATTACATCTAAAGACTCTAGAGCCAAGGAGGCCAAAGTCATTTCAGTAAAGAACAAAACACACAATACAACTATCATGTACCTTCAATTCATTTCTCCATGGGGCTTTAGATGTAACTCATTGGTAACGTCTCCATGCATGTCAATCTGATAGGAAGCCTTGTAGAGCTCAAGCATTTCTTATCAATAATGGAATTTCAACGAACTTCCACCAGGATAATACTCCAACAGGATACTCCAACCAAATCAAGCAAAACAACGAGAAAACTCATAATTGATGAAATGGAAGGAAAATACTAAGATACAATTGACCCTCAATGCGATAGGAGGATCATTCTCACACAAATCTCTAGACGTCGCTAGAGCCCAAGACACCAAAGCCTCCAATAAAAAATTCAGAAAAACATAGATAACCCTAATCACTCTCTTCTACTTTAAGCAAGCAATTGAAACCAAACCAAATAAAAAAAATTAAAAAATACAATTAAGACCAAGCAAATTACCAAACAGCCCATGCCTCCTTAATTCCAGCCATAGCAGCCCCCTCCTTCCTATTTGAAATCCTAGCCCCCCCCCCCCCCCCCCCCACCCCTAAGGTGGGCGGGTGAAACAACAAGGGGCTGACAATGCTTGGTCCGCCTGAAATAAACTTGGGCCGGCCCCTTGCCTAGGGCCGGCTAGACACTGATGGGTGACACCCCTCACGCAAGGTGATGGCATCCTCCTGCCCCCTTGGTGGTGGCAATCCTTGATATGGTTGAAAGACCTCCCTAAATTGTTGTATCAATGGCTGTATTGAAAAATAAATGCCTCTACTCTCCTCAAATCAGATTCCCTCTAATTTCTGTAGCTCTACCAGGAACATCAATGCTGCCTAACTCTAATGGGAGGAAATCCTCTCTCACCTGAATCCCTTGTATGGTCAACACTACTCCCCTACATATGCCTTTGCCCGTCTGAGCCGTCTCCACCTTCCCTATACCCATCATCACTCCATAGGCTCCTTGTATCCACCAAAGTCATCCATAATTGGTTCAGGACCTAGTTGGAGATGAAATTATGGGTGGTCACAATGTCGATCAACACTACCACCTCTCGGTCTGATATTTTCCCCTTCACCTTCATAGTATGACTTAGAGTGAATCCTATCATTAAGTTCAGAGATACCTCTGCCATATCCAAATGAAGCTTGACCTCCTCCTCTACCCCAATATCACTCTTACCTCCCTCCTCATTTTCCTCGTCATCACAAACGGTGAGAACCTAAAGAGTTCGGTCTCAACACCTATTCCCCGAGGTATACTTGTCATGACATCGGAAGCATAATCCCTTTGCTACCTTTTCCTGCACCTCCCTCTCAATCAACTTTTTGAAATTTCCCCTACTTCCTCCTACAGGCTTCACCCTTGGGGTCTCATGAAGGTTGCTTGGTGTAGGCCCCTTGGGTGCTAAGAAAATGGTGGTCATCATATATGAACCACCTGAACTGCTACCTCTTGCTCCCCTCTCCTGATACTTCTGATCCTCCACCAACTAAGCAAGCTTCTAGCCTCTCCCAAGTTTCAAGACCTCATGACTCTAACTGTTGCCCGGATCTCTGATTTAAACCCCTTCATGAAATTCCTCTCTAAAATTGTCTAGGACAGCCAATCCAGTCGACTCATCAGGCACTCAAATCTCTCGCAGTATTCTATCATTGAGACTTCCTGCACTAGGGCAAATAACTGCTCAAAAAAATCCCCTCCTCTGCTGGTTTGGAAACATTTTAATAAGCATTCTTTGAATGCCCTTTAACTATGTATTGGCCATCTCTCGTCTCTCCATTGGTACCAAGCCAAAGCCTTCCCTTCCAAACATAGGCTAGCCGCCGTCAAGTTCTCTTCCTCCGTCAATATATTGATGGCAAAGTATCTCTCTACCTTGTAAACTTACCCGTGTGCATCCTCCCCTTCAAAGAAGGGCATCTTCAATTTCCGTACCTTCAGATCTACCCCATATTTTTTCCCTTCCTCAACTGGGTGGTCCTCCCCAAATTGTCCCATTCCTCACTTCCACATTCATACCCAAACCCTTATTCAATTTCTCCCCTCCTTTCAAAATCAGCACCTCTCCTGCTGTAATCCCCCTCCTTTCTTTCCCAATCAGCACCCCTTTGCTCATACCCACATATCCACGCCTCTTCCCATACCTTCCACCTCTCTCCTCCCTCTGAAAAGGTTCCAGATGGGTTCTTCTCCCCTCTCCCTCTATAATCTCCACATCATTTTCATTCCTACGAATTTCAAAATTCATATTTCTCCCTATTGGCCCTCTTGCCTCTGATGCTACCATTTAGTTTTGATGATCTCATATTTTCTTCACCATCTCTTGAAGATCCGAGAACTTGCCTTACGTTGAGGAAATTATATCCTCAATTGTCGCTTTGATTTGACACTCAAAACGTTCTTCCAAAGCATCAACTTTCTTGTCCTCCATCGATACTCGGATCTTTGTTAGTCTAAAAAATTTGGATTTCGACCACAAAAAAAGCAAATACCCATGTTTCGAAAAAAGAAATCTGTTGCAGGAAATCACCAAAACAACCAAAAAACAACCCGGAAAAATGCTCTGATACCAATTTGATTAGAAACCCTTGCAGAGCTCAAGCGTTTCTTACCAATAATGGAATTTAAGCAAACTCCCACCAGGATACTCCAACCAAATCAAGCAAAACAGCGAGAAAACTCGTAATAATTGATGAAACAGAAGGAAAATACCAGGATTCAATTGATCCTCAGTTCGAGAGGATGATCATTCTCTCCCAAATCTCTAGATGTCGCTATAGCCCAAGACACCAAAGCCTCAAGTAGAAAATTCAGAAAAACATAGATAACCCTAATCCCTCTCTTCAACTTAAAGCATACAACTAAAACCAAGCAAATTACTAAACAGCCCATGCCTCCTTAATTTCATCCCATGCTGCCCCCTCCTTCCTATTTGAAATCCTAGTGGGCCCCCCCCAAGGGGGGCGGGTGAAACAGCAAGGGGCGGACAAGGCTTGGTCCGCCTGGAATAAATTTCGGTTGGCTGGATCGGTCTAACACAATCTTGAAGTCTTTGAAATTCCTATGTTTGATGTGCCATGGTTGAACAGTTCACTAAGAGGATCAACAGGCAGCCAATTCAAGTTTTTTTACATTGAAAACACAAGTAGACAAATTGCCATATATTAACCATAACTTTGAAGTTCACCAAGATGAGTAAAACGTTCAATTTACTGAAACAAGCCGGTAAATAACTTCATACTCAGGGGAAAAAATGCTAGCAATAACAGTTGTTTAGAAGCCCATATTCAACAAGTTTGCATGTCGACCACAATTCCAAAAACCAATAACTACAAGGCTCAGAAAATGGCATTGAATAATAGGATTAATATGAGTGTAGATAAGTAAAAAAACAATAAAGTAATAAAGGAGCACAACAAATTGAGAGTTATTCGGGTTTTTCCATACCCAAAAAATAAAAGCTGTTGTCTGATTTCAATGCCAACACGCTTATAAGAATACCAAAATATATGAATTAGCCAAGGAAGACATCAAAATATGATAAAAAGAACAATCAATATGATTCAAACAAAATTCAGAATCAACTGGTGTAAAGAACATACTGCAGTATGCGCATGCAGAAGAGATTGACGTTGTTGATGCAGATCTTGCAGGATTGAAACCCCAAGATCTTCCGTCTCCAACATGGTTCTTCTACTCTCCTTAATCCTTTCACTAGAATTATTCAATCGTTCAGTTGACATTAACAATCTTCCCCTTTGATCAGCAGACACCTGAATCATCAAAGAATCGGTGTTCAACAAAGCACAATTATCAAACTGAAATGCACTTCTATAATTAATAAAGAAACATCCATATTATTTAATCTTAAAATCCTAACAGAAAAATGCCAAATAATTGCATACAATGAAGGAATCTTGAGAGTTGATAATAATGAGTAATGGTTTTACAACTGATAAATAAAAAAGTTTATGAATTATAATTATACAAAAGATAATCAAAATCTAAAAAACATAAAACATGAATGACAATATAGAATATCATGTTTCAGCTTTGAAGCAAACCCATTCAAATCCTTGGTTCAAACAACTCAAGAAAAGGCTCTTTCGCTACTCAGACTAGATGTCTCACAAAGTTTAAATCAAACAAATTCCTCTGCTTATACTGAAATGTTATATCCAATAGCACGGAACTAAAGGTTCTGAATAAACTTATTTGAGATCTACAGCCTAACGCATAAGCATCCTGCCCTAGCATAAATTACCAACAAGAAAGTCTATTGGAAGAAAGGTAGGTTAGTACTTTTAAGCAGGTCAAAGGTTTGTAGTGCAGTTTTGAAAATCGGCTAGACAAATAAATGAAGAAGAGTGCAACATCAAATTAACAAACGAAACAAGAAATATCATACAGATAACGTATCTGCCATCCCAGATTCCAACAATTCCTCTCTTGAAGCATTCTTTGCATTAGGAGAAGTGATTCTTTTAACTTCACTCTTTAAATTATTGAGATCTGATTTGTATTCACGCAACTTAGCAAGCAATGCTGCCTTTACACTTGGTTGCAAACTTCTAGCCTCAAGATCCATTTTCCGAATCTACATAAGCCAAAGCCAATATTCTAAAATCAGCAAACATAATTGAACCAAAGAAGTATCAAGAAACACTTGAGATGATCAATCAAATCAACTACCAAGTTTTCAGCATCTTCTAAGCCGGACTTGATCTCAGACAACTTCTGCTTTTTCTGTTCTGCGGGTTAGACCAAGAAAATAAGATGCATAACAAAATTCTGATGAATGCGGTACAGAGGTGAATATGTTGACACCTACATCTCATATTTTCATTAAAAAAGCAAGCAATACATGCTTACACAAACATCAAGAAAGATCAAAAGTTACAGGAAGGCAGCATCACTAACCTCCATCAAGGGCGGCCGCTCCCGTACACTTCCGCGAAAGAGAAGCGGAGATTTCGCAATACTGGCGCTCGTATCCCTCGAAAACCTCACTCATCGCGACGAATTTCAGAACAATTGAACAAATCAACCAATATCGATGCTTATTTCAGGATATATCGTAAAATTATTGGAATCAAGCAAACCTGAGGAATAAAAGGAAACCAGTTAAAACCAAAGAGATCCTCTCAAGTTCAGAAAATTATTAAATTTGTAGATCACTGAAAATCTCAGAAAGCCCGATCGTCCATGTCGCAGGAAGGCTGCGGAGTAGACGTTAAACCTAATTCAAGAACAGATCCTAGCCCTCTAAACTGGGCTTCGAAGGATCACACGAATCAACAAGGCGATAATTTAAAAACAGGAGAGAAAATCATTAAGTGGCTGTTTGGCAACAGGATTTATGCAGAATTTGAGAAGCATGAATGCTAAATCCTGCCAAACGGGATTAGAGCAGCCGGTAAATCTCACAGCAGAATAAATCCTCCGTTTCCCTCCTTTTGCCGTAAATCCCAGATTTACTAAATCCTGGAGCCCGGCTGATTTAAGGGATTTGGCCGAAGAAGCACGCGAATGGGACACATATATTTACCTTCACAGCAAGCAAGCTCCCGTCGCTACTTCCGATCCAACAGGAAGAACGGCGAACAGTCGCGACTTCCAATTCGAGAGCAAGGAACGTCGTCGAAGGAGGCGAAGAAGCTTTTAGCGACTCGTTCAAAACCCTACCGAACGCGGAAGCACGCGAATTCGAACAGCAAGGAAAAAATGGAGACGAGAAAAGCAAACCGTATAAATACTTAGGCTATCGAAAGAGAAGAAGCAAACCGTAAAAGGAGGAATTGATCCTGCGATTAGCTCGTCGACGCCTGAAGGAAGATTGAAGAAAGGGAACAGCGGTACCTTCGTCGGCAAGGAGGTGTACGATGCCTAATGGAAATAAAAAGCTAAGAAAATGTTGAAAATAAATTGACGAGTCAAATTAGAGCACTCATACTGCCTTTAAAAAATTAAATAAATTATAAATATTATATATAGAAATTAAATTTAAATTTTGATAATTAAAATATATGTTTCAAATATAAATATAATATATGGTTTAATTATAAATATTTAAAAATATGCAACTCATCTTGATCTGTTGTCGGTAGCATAAATTACCAACCAATAAATCTAGAGTTTTAATCTTGTTTCTCTGAAGTAAAAACCAATTTTATATTATCATTACCACAAAACTCCTAATTCACTATATATTCTTGTTAGGGATAAATCCCTTTAACAAACTCAGTTTAGTATTCATAATAAATTTTATTTTATCAATGCCAATATTGTCAATCGTCATCACTGACAACGCCACCCTGGTCGCTACCGTCGCCAGCAACCTCCACCTCCAGCTGCAACCATTGTTGCAACTGCTACCACCACTGCTGGTTGCTACCACTGCCCGTCATTGTCATTGACAAACTTTTTTTAAACTTTACATTGCATACATTTTATTTCAAGTAAAAAAAAATAATTCTTCGCATTTATTGAATACTCATCCAAACAACTCTAAAGTATTTCGTTTACACTGCATTACTTTTATACTGCAATCTTTTTTCAACCAACCAAACAATCCTCACATATTTTACTTCCACAAATTTCCTATATAGTAATACTCATTTATGTAGAAAAAAAGAAAATTGAATTCTATACAATGATCATTTAGGATAGGGTTTAGAAGAGGCATCTAGAGATCTCAAACATATATGACAAAGGTAGAAAGGATATGGGTAGACCAAAATGAATATAGTGGAAGTTGAGACAATGGATATAGCCAAGCTTAAATTAATGCTAATTATGACTATTTAAGAAAATTAAATGTTTGTCAACTCAACCAAAAAAATACAATAAAGAGACAAAAATAATTTATCACACATCTCTAATCATAAATCCCTAAAGTTTAGTTTCAATAAATTAAAATTGTGGGTATTAATATTTAAGTTGAATTATATAAAATTTTAGCTTAATAGTGAACATAAGAACATGATAATTAAAATTTTCTAGTAAATTTCATGAATTTGGTGTAGACTATTATTTTTCCTAATTTACCATTAAATTGATATGGGAGTTGAATTATATAAAATTTTAGCTTAATAGTGAACATAAGTACATGATAATCAAAATTTTCTCGTAAATTTCATGAATTTGGTGTAGACTATTATTTTTCCTAATTCACCATTAAATTGATATGGGAGCCGCTTTAAGAAGCAGTCCCAAACGAAACCGAAATTTATAGCTCAAAATCATATGCATTCATCTCATATTTTATGAAGAATAGATTGTATTAAAAACTATCTAAAATTTGTTATTTTAATAGAGAACAACATTGATGTTAACTTTGTTATAATATACTTTTATTTTCATGGCATTATAGGATGTTATGATAGTGGGATGGCTTTGAAAAGTGGTTAAGGTTGAAGAGGTTGCTCTAGATGCTAGTTGCATGGGGTAAAGGGGGTCTTTGGACTATAAAATTGAAGGTGGCATAGGGACCAAGGCATCATGATTGAGCTAGGGAGGCAGAAAGCATATTGTAGTTTGTCAAACAATTAGCAGGGCCACCCCAACAAGAAAAATTACCAATCTAGGCAAAAAAAATAAGAACAACATCTTCCAACTGCAACAACAATAACATCAACGGGTCGGCAAAATGAATCATTTTTCTCCATTTTGTTTTATTAATATTCAAATTCTCATTTAAATGTAATAAAAAAGGGTCATATCTAATATTTTCTATCCAAGTATTTTTAGGTCTACCTTTGCCTTTCTTAACAAAGGGCAAATCAAATACATCTACTCTTCTAATTGAGTCATCGGAAGGCTGACATTTTATGCATCCAGACCTTCTAAAGTGACTCTCTCTAATTAACAGATTAATAATAATAAATAGCAATAAAATTTTTCTTTGTACAATTATGTATTAATTTAGGTTAACCGAGTTCAAATCTTTAAATAATAGAAAATACAACTTGTTATAATATAAGTATTTTCAAAGGCTAATTATGACTTATGCATTAGTTATGATTTTAAACTAGTAGTTGCACAAAAGTGAATCTTCTTCCATAATTATTTCTTACTTTTAGAATGGGCAAAAGTAAATGAAAGAAAAAAAAAAAGTAAAATCAAGAAGGTTTAGGATCATATTGTAAGAAAAATAGCCAAGTGGTGGACTTCAATAATGTAAACAGATCAAGAGAACACATAATATATTGTACAACTAAAAAGAGAGAAATAAAGGCAAATATAATGACACCGTTCAAGAACAGAGGATTGAGACCAGGGATTACCTGAGCCGCGTCGAGCTCAAGGTTCCGATGGACCACCACTTAGTCGAACGTCCTTCACCCGTCGAAGACTGATCACCACCGGTTTGGGTTAACCGGATACAGAATCTCCTCTACCACCTATAACGAACAGGATACAGAAAATGGTTCTCGACCTCCGTCAGAGAAAACAATAGTAAAATTCATCCAAAAACTGCTTTATCGATCATCCCTAGTGCCTTTATAACAGCAACTGGGAAAAGAATCCAGAATACAATTCAAATGTAGCTATATAACTGGCAACACTAAAAGCTATAGAGAAAACAAAGTAAAACAAGAGAAAAAAAATAAACTGTATCAGGTGAAGCAGAAGACACTCCGGTGTCATTCTTCCGGGGTAGGAGATTCGTTTAATTCATAGTGTGGCGTTAAGTCGGCGACGTTGAAGGTAGCAGAGATCTGGTAATCGTCAGGGAGATCAATTTGATACGCGTTGTTATTAATCTTTTTTATCACGCAAAAAGGGCCATCATCCTTGTGATTTAGATTAGAAAAAGCTCACGGAGGAAATCTTTCTTTTTGTAGCCGAATCCATACAAGATCCCCTTCTTTAAACTCCACGGGTCGTCGAGACTTATTAACTTGTCGCTGACATTTATGATTGTGTTTTGCTATAGCATATCAAACCTGTTGATGCAATTGTTGAATTTCTACACTCCGTTGTTCAGCATCAGCGCTAAAGGCAACCTTCAGTACTATGGGGACTAGTTCCAGTGGAGTAATGGGATTATACCCATAAGCAACTTCGAACGGAGTTCTCTTGGTTGCTTGATTGACATACCGATTAAATGCAAATTCAACCTGAGCTAAGATAAGGTCCCACTGTTTGATGTTCTTCCCACCAAAACAACGTAGAAGATTGCCTAAACTCCGGTTCACAGTTTCAGTTTGGCCATCAGTTTGGGGATGGGCTGCTGAGCTAAACTGCAGTTGTGTGCCAAATTTTCCCCAGAGCGTCCTCCAAAAGTGACTTAAGAACTTGACATCTATATCGGAGGTAATTGTTTTTGGTATTCCATGGAGACGGACGATCTCCTTAAAGAACAAATCTGCAACGTGTGTGGCATCCAACGTCCTATGGCAGGGAACAAAATGGACCATCTTAGAGAAACGATCTACCACCACCATTATAGAGTCTTTGTTCCTCTGCGTACGGGGCAGCCCAACGACGAAATCTAGGCTGATGTCGACCCACAGGGAGCTAGGCACGGGAAGGGGAGTATACATACCTGCATTTGTGCTGGAAGTCTTTGCCCTTTTACAGGTATTGATACTTCTCACAAACCTTCCCACATGTTTCTGAAGTGATGGCCAGTAGAAATTTTCACCCAGTAACACTTCAGTCTTCTCTCGTCCAAAATGACCCGCCAAGCCTCCTTCATGGCTTTCTGAAATGAGTGTCAGGCAAAGAGAATAGTTTGGAATACACATGCGCTGTTTTAAAAAAAGGTATCCATCTGTAATGTGAAATAACTTGAATGGACCTTGTAGGCAATGTTGTCATATGTCCCCAAAATTCGCATCTTCAGCATATAAATCCCGGATGACTTCAAAGCCAACTACCTTATTTTGTAGATGTTGACCTCGATTTTGCCCAGAACCTTGGTCAAAAGGTTAACTTGGTCAAATTGACCAAGTCAGGCCTCGAGACCCCCTCCAGTGGGTTCAGTGAGTCGAGTCGACTCTGTCGAGCCCTGACTTGGACCCCGAGTCAACCCAGTTGACTGAGTCAACCCGGGTTGACCAGTTTGGACCCTTTAAGCCTAAAATCAATTTTAAATCTATCTCATAGATTCCATGGCTTGATCTCACCCCCCCTTTTGACTCCCTTGACTGATTTGACCAGGTCAAAGTTTGACTTGGTCAAATCAAGTCTTAAATAGGTCAAATTAGCCTATTTTAATGAAATTAATGGCCAATAATTGCAATTAAAGCCTCCCCTTCGTTTTGAATTCAAAACCACGGCCAATTCCCTCTAAATTCCCTCCTAATTCGACCTTGATGAGATCTGGACCGTTAGCCTAGAGCTTAGAGATTTAAATAGGAGAAAATTAGGGTTAGGGAGGATCATTTTTTTTATTTTGCTCTTGCTCTAAAGAGCTTTATGGTCTGAGAAAAGCACGAATTCACTGGAAAGTAAATAGTGACTCCAATGCTGTAAGGCCCGAACAATTGCGTAGAACTCCTTGTCATACGTAGAGTACTTACGCCTGGCATCGCTCAATTTTTCACTAAAATAAGCTACCGGATGGCCACCTTGAGTTAGGACTGCGCCAATGCCAACATTCGACGCATCACACTCGACCTCAAAGGCTTGATGGAAGTTAGGCAATGCTAATGTGGGGGTTGAGGATATTTGCTGTTTCAAAGCATCAAAACTCACTTGTGCGTCCAGGTTCTAATAAAACTGGTTAGCTCTGAGAATTTATGTCATCGAAGCAGCAATTGTGTTGAAATTTCTAATGAATCTTTTGTAGAAAGATGCCAATCCGTGAAAACGACGGATGTCTGTGAACGACTGAGGAACAGGCCAACTGTGGATTGCCTCAACTTTAGACAGATCCACCATCAATCCTTCAGCAGAGAGTTGGTAGCCTAAAAACGA